TCCCGAGGCCTCTGTCCCACACCTGCTCTTCCGTAAGTCCCGTGGCCTCTGTCCCACACCTGCTCTTGCGTAAGTCCCGAGGCCTCTGTCCCACACCTGCTCTTGTGTAAGTCCCGAGGCCTCTGTCCCACACCTGCTCTTGTGTAAGTCCCGAGGTCTCTGTCCCACACCTGCTCTTGTGTAAGTCCCGAGGTCTCTGTCCCACATCTGCTCTTGAGTAAGTCCCGAGGCCTCTGTCCCACACCTGCTCTTGTGTAAGTCCCGAGGTCTCTGTCCCACACCTGCTCTTGCGTAAGTCCCGAGGCCTCTGTCCCACACCTGCTCTTGTGTAAGTCCCGAGGTCTCTGTCCCACACCTGCTCTTGTGTAAGTCCCGAGGTCTCTGTCCCACACCTGCTCTTGCGTAAGTCCCGTGGCCTCTGTCCCACACCTGCTCTTGTGTAAGTCCCGAGGTCTCTGTCCCACACCTGCTCTTGCGTAAGTCCCGTGGCCTCTGTCCCACACCTGCTCTTGTGTAAGTCCCGAGGCCTCTGTCCCACACCAGCTCTTGTGTAAGTCCCGAGGCCTCTGTCCCACACCTGCTCTTGTGTAAGTCCCGAGGCCTCTGTCCCACACCTGCTCTTGTGTAAGTCCCGAGGTCTCTGTCCCACACCAGCTCTTGTGTAAGTCCCGAGGCCTCTGTCCCACACCTGCTCTTGTGTAAGTCCTGAGGCCTCTGTCCCACACCTGCTCTTGTGTAAGTCCCGAGGCCTCTGTCCCACACCTGCTCTTGTGTAAGTCCCGAGGCCTCTGTCCCACACCAGCTCTTGTGTAAGTCCCGAGGCCTCTGTCCCACACCTGCTCTTGTGTAAGTCCCGAGGCCTCTGTCCCACACCTGCTCTTGTGTAAGTCCCGAGGCCTCTGTCCCACACCAGCTCTTGTGTAAGTCCCGAGGCCTCTGTCCCACACCTGCTCTTGTGTAAGTCCCGAGGCCTCTGTCCCACACCTGCTCTTGTGTAAGTCCCGAGGCCTCTGTCCTACACCAGCTCTTGTGTAAGTCCCGAGGCCTCTGTCCTACACCAGCTCTTGTGTAAGTCCCGAGGCCTCTGTCCCACACCTGCTCCTGTGTAAGTCCTGAGGCCTCTGTCCCACACCTGCTCTTGTGTAATCCGTTATGGTCGTAATTGTCTTTCCAATGTTTTATGTATAAAGTTCTACATTGTGGTCTCTATGTCCATAGTTTCCTCCAAAGTTATTTGAGTGACTTGTGTGTGTGTGTGTGAGGCGAGAGGAAGGTCACCAACACCTCCACATGTGGTCATTACTACCTGTATATGGTAATTATTCAATTATGCCAATTAATATTTTTTCTTCTTGATCACCTGATAATTTCCTAACTTCAATCAACTTTTAAAGTAATTAAAAATTCACGAATGATTACTTTATTGTTTCATTTTTCAATTTATTTCATCACACAAGACAGTTCTGTGCTCCTGGTAAATGAATTATTTTTATTATAATCATGTCCACAATAAATGCTAAAATGTAGTGGCAAAAATGCATTTATTTTTCAGTTTTGAATCCCGGCTGAACTTTAAAATTTATATATATACATGAATGTTTAGAAGTCCTATTGACCTGTGCGAGTCAACTCCTATATATATCCAGCCGTTCTCATTCCTGTAAGTCTAATCCAGAGATCCCTCGTCTACTAGTTTTGTTCCATAAATGAACAACCTTGTTCCAAAACCAATATTTACCCCAGTCATTCCTGAATCATAACTTATTTAATATATCTGTTTTATTTCACATTCTTGTATGAATTGGTTTATTACTATGTTAATAACATCTCTGTTATGCCCTTGATATTTAATCTTTTAATTTATGCCGCAATGCAATCACTTCTTTTTAACATAAACTTGTATAAGTAATATCGTCTCACACACATAATAACATACGATAAAAACCCACACTTGAGTATTTGTGAAATTTATGTAAGGAATTTACACCAAGTCTTTCGCACTCTCCTGAGTGCTTTGTCAAGGTGTGAGTGTGTGAGTGTGTGAGTGTGTGAGTGTGTGAGTGTGTGAGTGTGTGAGTGTGTGAGTGCACACACTCAGACCCGGACAACATCTGCTCTGTATATTAAAATGTTCATTCTGTGTTTTTGTTTTATTGCTAACTTTTTAACATTTGACAAGCTTGAACTTTTTACATTATAATTAAATTCAAGGAAATTTGTATATCAATTAAATGTTTACAGTAAAAAAACAAATATTCATTAATATATATATTTAATTACAAAGAAATTAATGTTTTAAATAAAAAATTTACAATATTGGAAAGTTGAGTGAACAAGTAATATTTACCTGTGTAGAGGAAAATAATGATTGATGACAATACTTACTGTATTGATGGAAGAAATCCTTCCCTACTGAGCCAATTATACACGAGTAACGCAAATGTAACCTTCCGTTCACCTGGGCTCTTGGAGACTCGAACCCTGGGCCCCACGCGTGTGAGGTCGAAACTCTATCGACCGAGCTATTAAGGAACGTCTCCAGAAGCAGCAGCTTGCTGCCAAATACAGCGTGGAATTAACGACTCACTTGGATTATTGGGCCAACAGTCTTGTAGAAAACTTAACAGCAAAAACTGGAGCTGGTGTAAGAAGAAGAAGGATGTTGTGTGTCTCGGGCAGCACTACATGTACAGGTGAGCCAAGGCTGCGGACGACAAGGAGCTGATTGTCTCAGCCTGGGGTCGTGCACCCCTGAACCAGGGGGTCTTCAGCCTGGGGTCGTTCACCCCTGAACCAGGGGGTCTTCAGCCTGGGGTCGTGCACCCCTGAACCAGGGGGTCTTCAGCCTGGGGTCGTGCACCCCTGAACCAGGGGGTCTTCAGCCTGGGGTCGTTCACCCCTGAACCAGGGGGTCTTCAGCCTGGGGTCGTGCACCCCTGAACCAGGGGGTCTTCAGCCTGGGGTCATGCACCCCTGAACCAGGGGGTCTTCAGCCTGGGGTCCTGCACCCCTGAACCAGGGGGTCTTCAGCCTGGGGTCGTGCACCCCTGAACCAGGGGGTCTTCAGCCTGGGGTCGTGCACCCCTGGGGGTCTTCAGCCTGGGGTCCTGCACCCCTGAACCAGGGGGTCTTCAGCCTGGGGTCGTGCACCCCTGAACCAGGGGGTCTTCAGCCTGGGGTCGTTCACCCCTGAACCAGGGGGTCTTCAGCCTGGGGTCGTTCACCCCTGACCCAGGGGGTCTTCAGCCTGGGGTCGTGCACCCCTGAGGGCACCCCAGGTGTTACATGAGGTGCCGGGTAACAACACCAGGAAGGACCACCACAAACCATCGTACGATTTAACTTTCTGATCAAATTTGTCAAACTTTTCCAGTACATTCTAAGGTTAACTTCCAAGATTAACCTAAAAGAAGTGTTCAGAGTAAAAATTATGACCTTTGCTCACGCTTAGATTCTGATGTGAATGTCTCAGGTGCTGAGGTATGGTGAAAACGAGGACACGAAGACACACACAGATCTACTCATAGATGGAAAGCAACATGTAAAAGATCTGGGAATTAAGATGCCTGACGACCTGACATTTAGTAAACATAACCGAGCAAATATAGCGGCGGCGGCCAGGAAAATGATAGGATGGGTTATGAGAATGTTCAAATCCAGAGACCCCACAGCAATGCTAATACTATTTAAATCACTGGTGCTGTCCCGTCTTGAATATTGCTCGGTACTCACTTACCCTTTCCAAGCGGGAGAGATCTCTGAATTATAGGGAATACAGAGAACATATACGGCACGCATAGACACGATAAAACATCTAAATTATTGGGACCGTCTCAAAGCTCTCAAAATGTACTCTTTGGAAAGGAGACGAGAAAGGTATTAAATAATAAATACACGGAAGATACTTGCAGGCCACGTTGCAAATTTCAACAGTAGAATAACTACATACAGGAGCGATAGACACATCGTCTTTCCTTTTCGCACATCTAAGTGCGAAAGGAACTTAGATAAATTCTTGCAAAAAGTGCCGGACCAACCAGGCTGTAGTGGATATGTGGGCCTGCGGCCCGCTCCAAGCAACAGCCTGGTGGACCAAGTTATCACAAGTGCAGCTTGTCCTCAGGCCGGGCTCGGGGAGTAGAACAACTCCCAGAACCCTCTCCAGGTATGTTCCAGGTATACACCCTGCACAGCGCCCTGATTAATTCAGTCTACCGCGGACCATAAGACTGAACATGTTGCGCCACCCTCAGACACGATCCTGTGATGAATATTTGCCCTTCAATGAGCTTCTGCTCTTTACCCTCCATGTCTTCGCTTACCTTAACTGTGTCAAGGTCGGGGGAAGAGGTGAGACAAGGAGAGGAAGACACATCTCAGCCTTAACACAAACAGGACAAGACCTCTTCGTCCCATCTTTTACCATCGCGTGCTCCTGCTTGGTCGCCTCCTGCTATATTGACTATACACATTACATCTAACTCTCTTGACGTAACGGTACGAGTTATCAAATCCAGTAATCCAGACGATGGTCCACGTCGTCCGTCACGTATTTGGTGGAAATGTCATATAACTTGGCGGTGAGCAAGTCATGGCATAATGTTATAATTGTGAAGGTTTTAATGTATGAGTGATGGGAAGCATGAGGCCCCCCCCCCCCCCCGGGCTGTCTGCAGGTCATGATCTACTTCTCCAGAGTAACTATCGCATAATATTAATATGGGAAAATTAAATGCAGTTTAATAAAACAATAAACATAATAAACCATCAGGGTTGAATTTAATTAAAGTGCAACATAGGAAAATAATGCAAACAATTAACTGCAACTTGCAGAGAGGCTGCCACTCTCCAGAACTTACTAGGCTCAGTAGGCCTTCCCTGCACCATCCTAAACAGCAGAGAATACTGTAAATGATTAACTTGAGCCATTACACATAAACCATTCTCCAGTGTAGGCCTACCCAACACAATAACACAACACTTCACGGTGTAAACCTTACCATCACTGTGCTCATTCTTGCCAGGTTGTGCACTCCGCACACCCGAGGTGTGCGGACGGTGGCAACTGCTGCACCACGGGTAGCTACCCACTCCGTGTCAGCCGGGGTAGTCCAGCTGTGGGAGCGTCCTCCACGTCCATATGGTCCAGAGATCACCTCCTCTCGCTGGACAGCTAGTGTGGTTTCCAGAAGGAGCGAGGTACTATTGATCTTTGCTGCCACACAATTACAGGTGTCTGGAGCAGAATGTCTGGCTCTACATCGCCATTGTGAAGCTAATGAAGACTTCTGACATTGTCAGCCATATTGGCCTCTGGACGATTATGGTCAAATATGGATAGCTAGATACTTCCACCGAATGGTGAAACAATTCCATAATGGCTTGCTGCCAGGGTCCCAGACCATGGCAATAACTGAGTGTCATTAAGCGGTTATAAACGATGTGTAACAAAGCTGCAGTATGGCTCACAGCCTCGCCGGCCTAATGTTCTGCACTGCTGATCCAGGCTTTTAGAAACAGTGATCTTGGGGTCGACCTTCGTTACCGTTTTGAAGAGAAACTATTCAGTTTGAGAACAGACAGGAGAACAGACAAGAGAACAGGCCAGAACTAAATTCCAAGTTAAGAACATTCGTAACTTTCAATTTACTAATGACTTTGCCTTCAACTTCAGTATGGTGGCTGGCATGCAATATGCCATGGATCAATTTTTCACGGCTTGCAAGAACCAAAAAGTCCGAGGTTCTGCACCAGGCAAATCTTGCAGGCCGTCTTCCTAAGGTTTCCCAATGTTAAGAAAACTGTCAAATTAAAGTGTCCTCTCCTAACCTGCCAGAGGACACAAAACAGAAAACGGAACAGTGCGTCACTTTTGCACGCCGTTTTCATTTTTTAGTACAACAATTTTTGGTTTTATGTAACACATACGAGCGAAATGTGACGCACTTTGTAGGAGGACAGGTTGTAGGAGGACAGGTTGTAGGAGGACAGGTTGTAGGCGGACAGGTTGTAGGAGGACAGGTTGTAGGCGGACAGGTTGTAGGAGGACAGGTTGTAGGAGGACAGGTTGTAGGCGGACAGGTTGTAGGAGGACAGGTTGTAGGAGGACAGGTTGTAGGAGGACAGGTTGTAGGAGGACAGGTTGTAGGAGGACAGGTTGTAGGAGGCCAGGTTGTAGGAGGACAGATTGAGGAGGACAGGCTGTAGAAGGACAGGTTATAGGAGGACAGGTTGTAGGAGGACGGGTTGTAGGAGGACAGGTTGTAGGAGGTCGGGTTGTAGGAGGACGGGTTGTAGGAGGACAGGTTGTAGGAGGACAGGTTGTAGGAGGACAGGTTGTAGGAGGACAGGTTGTAGGAGGACAGGTTGTAGGAGGACGGGTTGTAGGAGGACAGATTGAGGAGGACAGGCTGTAGAAGGACAGGTTATAGGAGGACAGGTTGTAGGAGGACGGGTTGTAGGAGGACAGGTTGTAGGAGGACAGGTTGTAGGAGGACGGGTTGTAGGAGGACAGGTTGTAGGAGGACAGGTTGTAGGAGGACAGGTTGTAGGAGGACGGGTTGTAGGAGGCCAGGTTGTAGGAGGACAGGTTGTAGGCGGACAGGTTGTAGGAGGACAGGTTGTAGGCGGACAGGTTGTAGGAGGACAGGTTGTAGGAGGACAGGTTGTAGGCGGACAGGTTGTAGGAGGACAGGTTGTAGGAGGACAGGTTGTAGGAGGACAGGTTGTAGGAGGACGGGTTGTAGGAGGACAGGTTGTAGGAGGACAGGTTGTAGGAGGACAGGTTGTAGGAGGACAGGTTGTAGGAGGACAGGTTGTAGGAGGACAGGTTGTAGGAGGACAGGTTGTAGGAGGACAGGTTGTAGGAGGACAGGTTGTAGGAGGACAGGTTGTAGGAGGACAGGTTGTAGGAGGACAGGTTGTAGGAGGACGGGTTGTAGGAGGACAGGTTGTAGGAGGACAGGTTGTAGGAGGACAGGTTGTAGGAGGACGGGTTGTAGGAGGACAGGTTGTAGGAGGACAGGTTGTAGGAGGACAGGTTGTAGGAGGACAGGTTGTAGGAGGACGGGTTGTAGGAGGACAGGTTGTAGGAGGACAGGTTGTAGGAGGACAGGTTGTAGGAGGACAGGTTGTAGGAGGACAGGTTGTAGGAGGACAGGTTGTAGGAGGACGGGTTGTAGGAGGACAGGTTGTAGGAGGACAGGTTGTAGGAGGACAGGTTGTAGGAGGACAGGTTGTAGGAGGACAGGTTGTAGGAGGACGGGTTGTAGGAGGACAGGTTGTAGGAGGACAGGTTGTAGGAGGACAGGTTGTAGGAGGACAGGTTGTAGGAGGACAGGTTGTAGGAGGACGGGTTGTAGGAGGACAGGTTGTAGGAGGACAGGTTGTAGGAGGACAGGTTGTAGGAGGACAGGTTGTAGGAGGACAGGTTGTAGGAGGACAGGTTGTAGGAGGACAGGTTGTAGGAGGACAGGTTGTAGGAGGACAGGTTGTAGGAGGACAGGTTGTAGGAGGACAGGTTGTAGGAGGACAGGTTGTAGGAGGACAGGTTGTAGGAGGACGGGTTGTAGGAGGACAGGTTGTAGGAGGACAGGTTGTAGGAGGACAGGTTGTAGGAGGACAGGTTGTAGGAGGACAGGTTGTAGGAGGACAGGTTGTAGGAGGACAGGTTGTAGGAGGACAGGTTGTAGGAGGACAGGTTGTAGGAGGACAGGTTGTAGGAGGACAGGTTGTAGGAGGACAGGTTGTAGGAGGACGGGTTGTAGGAGGACAGGTTGTAGGAGGACAGGTTGTAGGAGGACAGGTTGTAGGAGGACAGGTTGTAGGAGGACAGGTTGTAGGAGGACAGGTTGTAGGAGGACAGGTTGTAGGAGGACAGGTTGTAGGAGGACAGGTTGTAGGAGGACAGGTTGTAGGAGGACAGGTTGTAGGAGGACAGGTTGTAGGAGGACAGGTTGTAGGAGGACAGGTTGTAGGAGGACAGGTTGTAGGAGGACAGGTTGTAGGAGGACAGGTTGTAGGAGGACAGGTTGTAGGAGGACAGGTTGTAGGAGGACAGGTTGTAGGAGGACAGGTTGTAGGAGGACAGGTTGTAGGAGGACAGGTTGTAGGAGGACAGGTTGTAGGAGGACAGGTTGTAGGAGGACAGGTTGTAGGAGGACAGGTTGTAGGAGGACAGGTTGTAGGAGGACAGGTTGTAGGAGGACAGGTTGTAGGAGGACAGGTTGTAGGAGGACAGGTTGTAGGAGGACAGGTTGTAGGAGGACAGGTTGTAGGAGGACAGGTTGTAGGAGGACAGGTTGTAGGAGGACAGGTTGTAGGAGGACAGGTTGTAGGAGGACGGGTTGTAGGAGGACAGGTTGTAGGAGGACAGGTTGTAGGAGGACAGGTTGTAGGAGGACAGGTTGTAGGAGGACAGGTTGTAGGAGGACAGGTTGTAGGAGGACAGGTTGTAGGAGGACAGGTTGTAGGAGGACAGGTTGTAGGAGGACAGGTTGTAGGAGGACAGGTTGTAGGAGGACAGGTTGTAGGAGGACAGGTTGTAAGAGGACGGGTTGTAGGAGGACAGGTTGTAGGAGGACAGGTTGTAGGAGGACAGGTTGTAGGAGGACAGGTTGTAGGAGGACAGGTTGTAGGAGGACAGGTTGTAGGAGGACAGGTTGTAGGAGGACAGGTTGTAGGAGGACAGGTTGTAGGAGGACAGGTTGTAGGAGGACAGGTTGTAGGAGGACAGGTTGTAGGAGGACAGGTTGTAGGAGGACAGGTTGTAGGAGGACAGGTTGTAGGAGGACAGGTTGTAGGAGGACGGGTTGTAGGAGGACAGGTTGTAGGAGGACAGGTTGTAGGAGGACAGGTTGTAGGAGGACGGGTTGTAGGAGGACAGGTTGTAGGAGGACAGGTTGTAGGAGGACAGGTTGTAGGAGGACAGGTTGTAGGAGGACAGGTTGTAGGAGGACAGGTTGTAGGAGGACAGGTTGTAGGAGGACAGGTTGTAGGAGGACAGGTTGTAGGAGGACAGGTTGTAGGAGGACAGGTTGTAGGAGGACAGGTTGTAGGAGGACAGGTTGTAGGAGGACAGGTTGTAGGAGGACAGGTTGTAGGAGGACAGGTTGTAGGAGGACAGGTTGTAGGAGGACAGGTTGTAGGAGGACAGGTTGTAGGAGGACAGGTTGTAGGAGGACAGGTTGTAGGAGGACAGGTTGTAGGAGGACAGGTTGTAGGAGGACAGGTTGTAGGAGGACAGGTTGTAGGAGGACAGGTTGTAGGAGGACAGGTTGTAGGAGGACAGGTTGTAGGAGGACAGGTTGTAGGAGGACAGGTTGTAGGAGGACAGGTTGTAGGAGGACAGGTTGTAGGAGGACAGGTTGTAGGAGGACGGGTTGTAGGAGGACAGGTTGTAGGAGGACAGGTTGTAGGAGGACAGGTTGTAGGAGGACAGGTTGTAGGAGGACGGGTTGTAGGAGGACAGGTTGTAGGAGGACAGGTTGTAGGAGGACAGGTTGTAGGAGGACAGGTTGTAGGAGGACAGGTTGTAGGAGGACAGGTTGTAGGAGGACAGGTTGTAGGAGGACAGGTTGTAGGAGGACAGGTTGTAGGAGGACAGGTTGTAGGAGGACAGGTTGTAGGAGGACAGGTTGTAGGAGGACAGGTTGTAGGAGGACAGGTTGTAGGAGGACGGGTTGTAGGAGGACAGGTTGTAGGAGGACAGGTTGTAGGAGGACAGGTTGTAGGAGGACAGGTTGTAGGAGGACAGGTTGTAGGAGGACAGGTTGTAGGAGGACAGGTTGTAGGAGGACAGGTTGTAGGAGGACAGGTTGTAGGAGGACAGGTTGTAGGAGGACAGGTTGTAGGAGGACAGGTTGTAGGAGGACAGGTTGTAGGAGGACAGGTTGTAGGAGGACAGGTTGTAGGAGGACAGGTTGTAGGAGGACAGGTTGTAGGAGGACAGGCTGTAGGAGGACAGGTTGTAGGAGGACAGGTTGTAGGAGGACAGGCTGTAGGAGGACAGGTTGTAGGAGGACAGGTTGTAGGAGGACAGGTTGTAGGCGGACAGGTTGTAGGAGGACAGGTTGTAGGCGGACAGGTTGTAGGAGGACAGGTTGTAGGAGGACAGGTTGTAGGAGGACAGGTTGTAGGAGGACAGGTTATAGGAGGACGGGTTGTAGGAGGACAGGTTGTAGGAGGACAGGTTAAAGGAGGACAGGTTGTAGGAGGACAGGCTGTAGGAGGACAGGTTGTAGGAGGACAGGCTGTAGGAGGACAGGTTGTAGGAGGACGGGTTGTAGGAGGACAGGTTGTAGGAGGACAGGTTATAGGAGGACAGGTTGTAGGAGGACAGGTTGTAGGAGGACAGGTTGTAGGAGGACAGGTTGTAGGAGGACAGGTTGTAGGAGGACAGGTTGTAGGAGGACAGGCTGTAGGAGGACAGGCTGTAGGAGGACAGGCTGTAGGAGGACAGGTTGTAGGAGGACAGGCTGTAGGAGGACAGGTTGTAGGAGGACAGGTTGTAGGAGGACAGGTTGTAGGAGGACAGGTTGTAGGAGGACAGGTTGTAGGAGGACAGGTTGTAGGAGGACAGGTTGTAGGAGGACAGGTTGTAGGAGGACAGGTTGTAGGAGGACAGGTTGTAGGAGGACGGGTTGTAGGAGGACAGGTTGTAGGAGGACAGGTTGTAGGAGGACAGGTTGTAGGAGGACAGGCTGTAGGAGGACAGGTTGTAGGAGGACAGGCTGTAGGAGGACAGGTTGTAGGAGGACGGGTTGTAGGAGGACGGGTTGTAGGAGGACAGGTTATAGGAGGACAGGTTATAGGAGGACAGGTTGTAGGAGGACAGGTTGTAGGAGGACAGGTTGTAGGAGGCCAGGTTGTAGGAGTACAGGTTGTAGGAGGACAGGCTGTAGGAGGACAGGCTGTAGGAGGACAGGCTGTAGGAGGACAGGTTGTAGGAGGACAGGCTGTAGGAGGACAGGTTGTAGGAGGCCAGGTTGTAGGAGGACAGGTTGTAGGCGGACAGGTTGTAGGAGGACAGGTTGTAGGCGGACAGGTTGTAGGAGGACAGGTTATAGGAGGACGGGTTGTAGGAGGACAGGTTGGCTCCTGGCTGTGACTTTACTGAGCCGTTTATCACCGTCAGTGGCTAGAAGTTAAACAAAGTGGATAGGTTTTCAGACCAAAGTGCCAGATACATACTTTCTTGCAAAGGTTAGGATGACAAGCATCTACACTATGCTTTAAAATACACAGCTCAGATGGGCTGGCCCTGTTGTACGCGTGACACATGAACAGAGCAACAGAAAAGGAACTGTGCCGTGCAGAAAGGCACTGTTGTAGAAAAAGAACTTTCCTACAACAGAAAAGGTCCCACCAGAAGAACTGTGGCATAGACTGTAAAAGCTGGCAGTGAATCCACGGAGGATAACTCTACCTGCAGCCTAGGATAACTCTGCCTGCACCCTAGGATAACTCTGCCTGCAGCCTAGAATAACTCTACCTGCAGCCTAGGATAACTCTACCTGCAGCCTAGGAGGATAACTATACATGCAGCCTAGGAGGATAACTATACATGCAGCCTAGGATAACTCTACCTGCAGCCCAGGTAACTCTACCTGCAGCCCAGGTAACTCTACCTGCAGCCCAGGTAACTCTACCTGCAGCCCAGGTAACTCTACCTGCAGCCCAGGTAACTCTACCTGCAGCCTAGGAGGATAACTCTACCTGCAGCCTTGGAGGGAAGGAATTATCAGGGGAAAGCACCAAGCAATTATGACTATATAGGACTGGGAAGGGGTGAGGATAATGATGTGGCTTGGGACGGGATGGAAGGAATGGTGCCTAACCAGTTGAACGGTCGGGGATTGAACGCCGACCTGCATGAAGCAAGACCCCTCGTTCTATCGTCCAGTTGATGTGGGTGAACAGTCAAAAGGGACAGAATTATGTTTCGATATATAAATATATATATATATATATATATATATATATATATATATATATATATATATATATATATATATATATATATATATATATATATATATTCCAAAAATTCTTCCAAAAACTAAATGACTAAAGCAGCACAACTAAGTGACTTAATTAGTGATTTAGGCTCGTCAAAAAGAGTCTTCCCAGTTCCTTGGTTCACGACTTGTTGAAAACAATTTACGTGCAACGGAAAAAAACTTATTTTTCGTATTGAAAAAAAGATGATCAATTCCGAAAGTTTTTTTTTCTCGCTACACGACAATATGTTATTAGTACGTTGTAGGGACCTTGGAGGACTGTTGCAGGGACCTTGGAGGACTGTTGTAGGGACCTTGGAGGACTGTTGCAGGGACCTTGGAGGACTGTTGTAGGGACCTTGGAGGACTGTTGTAGGGACCTTGGAGGACTGTTGCAGGGACCTTGGAGGACTGTTGCAGGGACCTTGGAGGACTGTTGTAGGGACCTTGGAGGACTGTTGTAGGGACCTTGGAGGACTGTTGTAGGGACCTTGGAGGACTGTTGCAGGGACCTTGGAGGACTGTTGCAGGGACCTTGGAGGACTGTTGTAGGGACCTTGGAGGACTGTTGTAGTGACCTTGGAGGACTGTTGTAGGGACCTTGGAGGACTGTTGTAGGGACCTTGGAGGACTGTTGTAGGGACCTTGGAGGACTGTTGTAGGGACCTTGGAGGACTGTTGTAGGGACCTTGGAGGACTGTTGTAGGGACCTTGGAGGACTGTTGCAGGGACCTTGGAGGACTGTTGGAGGGACCTTGGAGGACTGTTGTAGGGACCTTGAAGGACTGTCGTAGAGACCTTGAAGGAGAGTTGCAGGGACCTTGAAGGAGAGTTGCAGGGACCTTGAAGGAGAGTTGCAGGGACCTTGGAGGACTGTTGCAGGGACCTTGGAGGACTGTTGCAGGGACCTTGGAGGACTGTTGTAGTAACCTTGGAGGACTGTTGTAGGGACCTTGGAGGACTGTTGTAGGGACCTTGGAGGACTGTTGTAGGGACCTTGGAGGACTGTTGTAGGGACCTTGGAGGACTGTTGTAGGGACCTTGGAGGACTGTTGTAGGGACCTTGGAGGACTGTTGGAGGGACCTTGGAGGACTGTTGCAGGGACCTTGGAGAACTGTTGGAGGGACCTTGGAGGACTGTTGTAGGGACCTTGGAGGACTGTTGGAGGGACCTTGGAGGACTGTTGTAGGGACCTTGGAGGACTGTTGTAGGGACCTTGGAGGACTGTTGTAGGGACCTTGGAGGACTGTTGGAGGGACCTTGGAGGACTGTTGGAGGGACCTTGGAGGACTGTTGTAGTGACCTTGGAGGACTGTTGTAGGGACCTTGGAGGACTGTTGTAGTGACCTTGGAGGACTGTTGTAGGGACCTTGGAGGTCTAGTGTAAGCCTCAGGTTAGACTCACAGACCAGAGGAGTGGAGACACTTCACCAACTCGTCAAGTCCAAGTGTATAAGCTGCACATCTAAACATTAACATTAAAGGTGCACGTTCTTGTTGTGCATTCAGTTAAATTAACTAAGAGTTATGGGAAAATGAAACTCTAACTCAATGCTCTGGAGTACAACCGCCACAACTGTAAGTTCTGAGGACATTTGAAGGAAGGGAATACTAAAATATCAGTCCATGTAATTTAACATTTTACATTAATGTCATATATCTCTTTTAACTCATTGGTCTCATATTTTATGAGTAATATATATTATATTCCTAATATTCATAATATTAGGAACACAAGGAAGCTGCGCCTGTGTGTTGTGCGTGTGTGATGGTGGAGCAGCCGACACACACACAGCAGCATAGTGAAGGTTCAGCTCCAGAAGCCCTTCAGTCTGGCTCACATAATGTGGGTGCTGAACCTCTAGTCATTCCCCGTCGACCTTTGCTGCCATCTCTTCATGTAAAACTTGGATTGATGAAAATTTTTGTCAAGGCCAATAATAAAAAGTTCATATTCGAGTTTATAAAGTTCAACATTGGTTTTCATAACGCAGAAATTTCTTCATAAAAATTATGCTAAATTGTAGCAGCACTTCTAATGTCACTGAGAATAGAACACCGTATAAGGGATGAACAGTTGGAAAGATTAATGAGTGTGACAGACAAGAGTGCACGCCGAGCCTCTCCGTGCACTGAGTAGCGACTAACTTGGAAGCCACGGAAGGTCATCACGTCGTGCACAGTGTTCAAGACCTGTGAAGAATCTCAAGACTCCGAGGTCACGTAGGTCAGTAAGATTGTCTTGGCTCGGGTGGCGTGTGTGTTGGTTCCCCCGAGGAGAGTGGAGACGACGGTGGGGAACAAGGGGGCAGCTGCCACCCCGAGGAGAGTGGAGACGTCGGTGGGGAACAAGGGGGCAGCTGCCACCCCGAGGAGAGTGGAGACGTCGGTGGGGAACAAGGGGGCAGCTGCCACCAAGACAGTCGTACAGTGGAAGGTGTCACGGTCGCTGACACATTAACATGCTAGCGGACTGCTGCTGCTGGTGTCTTGAACGTGACTTGTCTGCTACTAAACACAAGCCAAGATCCTTCAACACGACTTTTCGTGCCCATTGATGTATATTCCAGAGGATTTTCCTAGTTAATAAAAACAAATCCAATATTTATTCATTGATAACTTTTTTTTTTAATTTTACTCCTTACTCCTCCATTCAAACCCCGAGAATTTTAACACAAAAACATAAGGTTTCATCACATACAGACGTAGTGAAGTCCAAGCAGACAGAACAGAACCATTGTCATTTTGTATTTCAGCATAGCTAGATTATTTAGACTCGGCGCAAAAAAACTCTGACAACAGAAAATAAATTTCAGCACGCAGGCCTTTATTATGCTGGCCGGTAATTTGTCCACTAAATCACCACCTCTCATGTCCAGATTCTGTCCCACCAATTTTCTGAGTTTAAACTTATCCAATTTTTTTCTTTGGGGTTAGCTTTATAAAGTCCAGAACACTCTTAGAGTGAGAGTATCACTGTCAAGTTAACACAGCATCAGGGAGAACCATTAGAGATCAGCACCGTTGCCTGCTTTGTACCGTTGCCTGCACAGTACCGTTGCCTGCTCTGTACCGTTGCCTGCTCAGTACCGTTGCTTGCTCAGCACCGTTACCTGCTCTTCACCGTTGCCTGCTCAGCACCGTTACCGTTGCCCATGCTCTCTGCACCATTGCCTGCTAAGCATCGTTGCTTGCTCAGCACCGTTACCTGCTCTTCACCGTTGCCTGCTCAGCACCGTTACCTGTTCAGCACCATTGCCTGCTCTGCACCATTGCCTGCTAAGCATCGTTGCCTGCCCAGCACCGTTGCCTGCCCATCACCGTTGCCTGCTCAACACCGTTGCCTGCCCAGCACCGTTGCCTGCTCAACACCGTTGCCTGCCCAGCACCGTTGCCTGCTCAACACCGTTGCCTGCCCAGCACCGTTGTCTGCTCAACACCGTTGCCTGCCCAGCACCGTTGCCTGCTCAACACCGTTGCCTGCCCAGCACCGTTGCCTGCTCAACACCGTTGCCTACTCAGCACATCTATATTTGGAATTAGAGAAACACCGAGTTAAACAATGTTTCATTATACGACACATGTTGGAAAAAACAAACATTAACTACGACATGTTCAGGTAGAGAACATAACGGTAAATAGTAAATGAAAACGCCGTGAGTTTTAGGCTTAGAGCTCTTTCATCTTTCAGGATGAAAGCTGCGAGATTCTTGTGTGAAGAAAGAATGAAAGAACACACACTGAGATTTTAAAGGTCTTTATTTAAGTGTTTTGATTTTATAAGACGTTGCCAGAGCAGCGCAAAGAGCTGCTCACAAGGTCATGGTTGCCATGAATGTTGCCATACTATATGTTGACACACAGGTAAGATAACCAATCACACGTGAGAATTATTTCGTTGCTGAGGAAAGTTATCATAATGACTTTAGCAGAACAGAACCGCGAATACTTTTCTTGATCACAACATAAGACAACTGAGTCCAGTTGAGTCCTGCGGGCCGCTCCAAGCAACAGCCTGGTGGACCAAGCTCTCAAAAGTCAAGCCTGGCCTCGGGCCGGGCTTGGGAAGTAGAAGAACTCCCAGAACCCCATCAAGCAGGTATCAAGCAGCAACACCTGGAGCAAAACATTTAACTTTAGGAGCACAGGGAAGAAAACACCTGACTAGCAACACACAGGAGAGAACACCTGACTTGATCAATAGAGGGACAACATGGCTGCCACACCACAGGGTAGAGAACACATGTTTGAAGTAGTACTAAGGAAATATCAGCTGAGGTCAGTAAGAATATCTAACTTCAGAAGCAAAGGGAAGAAAACACCTGACTAAAGCCATTTATAGGAGGCACCGACACACCGCATCATCACAAGGGTGTAAAACACCTGACTCCAATAACACAAACCGGACAACACCTGACTACAACACAACAAAAAACACAAAACCTTTACTGAAACAACACATGACAGAAGATACAGCAGCAACACAGGAGAGTAAAGGTGACATCACCTGACTGTGGCAGAGTAAAGGTGACATCACATGACTGTGGCAGAGTAAAGGTGACATCACATGACTGTGGCAGAGTAAAGGTGACATCACCTGACTGTGGCAGAGTAAAGGTGACATCACCTGACTGTGGCAGAGTAAAGGTGACATCACATGACTGTGGCAGAGTAAAGGTGACATCACATGACTGTGGCAGAGTAAAGGTGACATCACATGACTGTGGCAGAGTAAAGGTGACATCACATGACTGTGACAGAGTAAAGGTGACATCACATGACTGTGACAGAGTAAAGGTGACATCACATGACTGTGACAGAGTAAAGGTGACATCACATGACTGTGACAGAGTAAAGGTGACATCACATGACTGTGGCAGAGTAAAGGTGACATCACATGAGTGCAGTAAAATGAAAGAGAGAATGCATAACTGCAGCTCCATAAAGTAGAGCTAAAACATAGCTGCAGCTCCATAAAGTAGAGCTAAAACATAGCTGCAGCACCATAAAGTAGAGCTAAAACATAGCTGCAGCACCATAAAGTAGAGCTAAAACATAGCTGCAGCACCATAAAGTAGAGCTAAAACATAGCTGCAGCACCATAAAGTAGAGCTAAAACATAGCTGCAGCTCCATAAATAAAAGAACACATGAATAAGTACAAAAACATGAACTTGAATATGAATATGAAACTACATGAACATTTTTTCATCAAAATTTTTTACTCTCCCTAATGGCAGACTGAGAGAAACCTAATATGCTTTTAAACCTCAATAATTTATCAAAAAGCATAACTTATGTACATCATGAGGTGTGACGAACCAATATTAGTGAGTGCAACACAACGTTTGGTCGTCCATCAGACCCACTAATGTCAACAGTCACTACTTCATTATTGGACTTAAATGGAATATTTATATGTCAGTTCCATTATGTAAGGTTATACATCATTAGCTAAATTGTTTAGTAACTGATCGAAGGATCTTACGATGTTTAGATCTCATAAACTTAATTACTATTGGACTTGGGGCAGGAATATATTTATAGAAATATATAATTTTATTGACATATAGAATACTTGAGTAGTAGGAGGAGGTCACTCTCTGTTTATTTATGATGATATATGGACAATATTTATAGAAATATATAATTTTACCAACTTATATAATACTTGAGTAGGAGGAGGTCACTCTCTCTCTCTGTTTATTTATGATGATATATGGACAATATGTCTGTTATTAGATCAGGGCTAAAATAACAGACATCTTGGAATTAAACTTGTTCAGTCAAAAAGTTCAAAACTCGAGCCTCCAAATCTACAATTAAGATTAAATCCTTCGCTTTGATTCCAGGTTGATAATGTCCCCTGAATAATACAGACTGACGCTTAGACACACAAAATGATCACTAGATAACCACACATGGACCAGGCAACACGTTGCCGCACAGCCACAAACACAGCGTGTTTACATTGTGACGGTAACGCGTTGGTGTTCGGCTGTTCAAAGCTAGGGGTATGGCCTCGTCACATAGAATAAAAAAAAAAATAGAAAATCTGGAACTTCGTCTGTGGTAAGGTAAGGAGAAGACACACAAAACACAAGTAAACTTTAACAATGCAATTTTAATTACGTTAGAAAAACAAAACATGAATAAAATGGACATACAAATTCGTATAATAAAATCAATCAATCAAAATAATAAGAATAATTAAATGACAAAATGAAAAGTTACGTTAAGACAAGTGAGCAATAACAAGCTGTGCAATATACAATAAAATGAGAGGTGCAGGAATATTGGCTTTAAGCTATCACCTCTCTTAGTACACGTAAGCCACAGCTCAGTCTACCAAGAAGACGTGTTAACCGTATGAAAGCACTGAATATTCTGAAGACTGAGGTCGTGGCGGCCCCAGACATCAAGTAGTATGGTGGGTGGAGTGCAGTTGCAGCTAGACCCGCGGCCAATCAGCGAGGAGCCAGCGACAAGACAGGTAGTTTGGCGGCTTGAGGTGGAGCAGGTGTTCCTGGCTGCATAAGTTTTGCGCTCTGGCAAACCTTGCTGGTGTTGTCGTTGTTGGATTTTTCTTCCATACTTGTTCTATATAGATGTTTATGTCGACGTCTTTTGGAGGGAAGAGCAGGCTCAATCTCTTGAAGGAGATTATCGTCACAACATGAATACATTCAAACCCTAATTATGCCACGATCTAAGTTTTACTGAATAATATTCTTTGCGGGTGTTCTGGTATCGTCACTATCTTCGGAGTGTAGCGTGACTTGTCCAGCACCATCTATGAGTCTGCACTCGAGCTCCCCCAGTATTGGACGCTATGTGGACAACGCCATCTGTTGGTGGTGGCGTGGCAGCGATAAATGGCTCTGGTTTCCTGCCTTAGTCAGAAAGAGAGGTCGATGTGGACGACCTCTGGTGGGTGGCGTGTCACGATCAGCACCACCTAAGTTGTAGCTACAGATCATAATGTCAACTCTCCGGTGAACGAGTGTTACCTCATGGTTTCCCCAGTGTACCGTCCATCTAATTAATGACGTCTTTATGTCCACAGAGGTGACATGTGGAGGCGGTGGTACGGAGGAAGACAGTTTACCTTGGGCAGTCCACGAACCCTTAGCTTGGTCTTGCAAGAAGACTAGGTAGCCGCCATCGATCTGAGCAGTGTGTGTTAACTGCTGATATACGCAGTGTTGGTGCAGATCGACGTACCTGGGGTTGGCTAAGTAAGGGTTGCGGTCAACAGTAATGTGTCTATTGTGAAGTGCTGCTTGCAAGCTGCTAGAGGCTTCTGCCAAGGTGTTCGCTACCCCTGTATATCGTTGTTTGAGACCCCCTGTCAGCGTGTTGCTGAAGTTCTCTTGTCAGTGTGTAGCTGGAGAGCGAAAGGTGGAGTGTAGGCACATCATGACACTGTGTGGGGTGGACTGGCTCATGTAAATGGTGAACTCACCAGTGTTGCCCAGTACGAGTGGATAAAATACTGGGACGTCGTAATCACTGGCGTTGGTGAACACTGCTAACGCATTTGTGTCCAGCATGAGACACTGCAAGAGACATTATTTCTATAAGTTGAACATAAGTGTAAAAATAATTGTATTTATATATTTATTTAATTGTGACGGTGAATATATTGGTGAAGGGAATTGTCTTGTTGATCCGTCTCTTATTTATGCATTGCACTGCTACCAGCCCTTGCGAGCATGCTGCCGACTTGGGGTACGAGACTATAAAAATGGTTATAATATCAAGGACCCCGTTACTGGCACATAGTGGCCGTAACAGAGGGATATTGTTTATGACACAGTGTAGTCACAACACTGTGTACCACAACACACCAGTGGTCACAACACTGTGTACCACAACACACCAGTGGTCACAACACTGTGTACCACAACACACCAGTGGTCACAACACTGTGCACCACAACACACCAGTGGTCACAACACTGTGTACCACAACACACCAGTGGTCACAACACTGTGCACCACAACACATCAGTGGTCACAACACTGTGCACCACAACACACCAGTGGTCACAACACTGTGCACCACAACACACCAGTGGTCACAACACTGTACCACAACACACCAGTGGTCACAACACTGTGCACCACAACACACCAGTGGTCACAACACTGTGCACCACAACACACCAGTGGTCACAACACTGTGTACCACAACACACCAGTGGTCACAACACTGTGCACCACAACACACCAGTGGTCACAACACTGTGCACCACAACACACCAGTGGTCACAACACTGTGCACCACAACACACCAGTGGTCACAACACTGTGCACCACAACACAACACTGTGCACCACAACACACCAGTGGTCACAACACTTTGTACCACAACACACCAGTGTGTTCACAACACTGTGCACCACAACACACCAGTGGTCACAACACTGTGCACCACAACACACCAGTGGTCACAACACTGTGCACCACAACACAACACTGCGCACCACAACACACCAGTGGTCACAACACTGTGCACCACAACACACCAGTGGTCACAACACTGTGCACCACAACACACCAGTGGTCACAACACTGTGCACCACACCAGTGTACCACAACACACCAGTGGTCACACACTGTGCACCACAACACACAACAACACACCAGTGGTCACAACACTGTGCACCACAACACACCAGTGGTCACAACACTGTGCACCACAACACACCAGTGGTCACAACATTGTGCACCACAACACACCAGTGGTCACAACACTGTGCACCACAACACACCAGTGGTCACAACACTGTGCACCACAACACACCAGTGGTCACAACACTGTGCACCACAACACACCAGTGGTCACAACACTGTGCACCACAACACACCAGTGGTCATAACACTGTGCACCACAACACACCAGTGGTCACAACACTGTGCACCACAACACACCAGTGGTCACAACACTGTGCACCACAACACACCAGTGGTCACAACACTGTGCACCAGAACACACCAGTGTGGTCACAACACTGTGCACCACAACACACCAGTGGTCACAACACTGTGCACCACAACACACCACACTGCACCACAACACACCAGTGGTCACAACACTGCACCACAACACACCAGTGGTCACAACACTGTGCACCACAACACACCAGTGGTCACAACACTGTGCACCACAACACACCAGTGGTCACAACACTGTGCACCACAACACACCAGTGGTCACAACACTGTGCACCACAACACACCAGTGGTCACAACACTGTGCACCACAACACACCAGTGGTCACAACACTGTGCACCACAACACACCAGTGGTCACAACACTGTGCACCACAACACACCAGTGGTCACAACACTGTGCACCACAACACTGTGCACCACAACACACCAGTGGTCACAACACTGTGCACCACAACACACCAGTGGTCACAACACTGTGCACCACAACACACCAGTGGTCACAACACTGTGCACCACAACACACCAGTGGTCACAACACTGTGCACCACAACACAACACTGCGCACCACAACACACCAGTGGTCACAACACTGTGCACCACAACACACCAGTGGTCACAACACTGTGCACCACAACACACCAGTGGTCACAACACTGTGCACCACAACACACCAGTGGTCACAACACTGTGCACCACAACACACCAGTGGTCACAACACTGTGCACCACAACACACCAGTGGTCACAACACTGTGCACCACAACACACCAGTGGTCACAACACTGTGGTCACAACACTGTGCACCACAACACACCAGTGGTCACAACACTGTGCACCACAACACACACAACACTGTGCACCACAACACACCAGTGGTCACAACACTGTGCACCACAACACACCAGTGGTCACAACACTGTGCACCACAACACACCAGTGGTCACAACACTGTGCACCACAACACACCAGTGGTCACAACACTGTGCACCACAACACACCAGTGGTCACAACACTGTGCACCACAACACACCAGTGGTCACAACAACACTGTGCACCACAACACACCAGTGGTCACAACACTGTGCACCACAACACACCAGTGGTCACAACACTGTGCACCACAACACACCAGTGGTCACAACACTGTGCACCACAACACACCAGTGGTCACAACACTGTGCACCACAACACACACAGTGGTCACAACACTGTGCACCACAACACACCAGTGGTCACAACACTGTGCACCACAACACACCAGTGGTCACAACACTGTGCACCACAACACACCAGTGGTCACAACACTGTGCACCACAACACACCAGTGGTCACAACACTGTGCACCACAACACACCAGTGGTCACAACACTGTGCACCACAACACACCAGTGGTCACAACACTGTGCACCACAACACACCAGTGGTCACAACACTGTGCACCACAACACACCAGTGGTCACAACACTGTGCACCACAACACACCAGTGGTCACAACACTGTGCACCACAACACACCAGTGGTCACAACACTGTGCACCACAACACACCAGTGGTCACAACACTGTGCACCACAACACACCAGTGGTCACAACACTGTGCACCACAACACACCAGTGGTCACAACACTGTGCACCACAACACACCAGTGGTCACAACACTGTGCACCACAACACACCAGTGGTCACAACACTGTGCACCACAACACACCAGTGGTCACAACACTGTGCACCACAACACACCAGTGGTCACAACACTGTGCACCACAACACACCAGTGGTCACAACACTGTGCACCACAACACACCAGTGGTCACAACACTGTGCACCACAACACAACCAGTGGTCACAACACTGTGCACCACAACACACCAGTAGTCATAACACTGTGCACCACAACACACCAGTGGTCACAACACTGTGCACCACAACACACCAGTGGTCACAACACTGTGCACCACAACACACCAGTGGTCACAACACTGTGCACCACAACACACCAGTGGTCACAACACTGTGCACCACAACACACCAGTGGTCACAACACTGTGCACCACAACACACCAGTGGTCACAACACTGTGCACCACAACACACCAGTGGTCACAACACTGTGCACCACAACACACCAGTGGTCACAACACTGTGTACCACAACACACCAGTGGTCACAACACTGTGCACCACAACACACCAGTGGTCACAACACTGTGCACCACAACACGCCAGTGGTCACAACATTGTGCACCACAACACACCAGTGGTCACAACACTGTGCACCACAACACACCAGTGGTCACAACACTGTGCACCACAACACACCAGTGGTCACAACACTGTGCACCACATTAGGATGTTAGAAGTATTCCTTGTTACATTAGAATGTCTTAGAGCTTTTGAGAGCGGGGGGGGGGCGGGGTCCTCCTCTTTGAGAAGAGGGAACTCTACAGTGGGTGGAGTGAGAGGAGGGAACTCTACAGTGGGTGGAGTGAGAGGAGGGAACTCTACAGTGGGTGGAGTGAGAGGAGGGAACTCTACAGTGGGTGGAGTGAGAGGAGGGAACTCTACAGTGGGTGGAGTGAGAGGAGGGAACTCTACAGTGGGTGGAGTGAGAGGAGGGAACTCTACAGTGGGTGGAGTGAGAGGAGGGAACTCTACAGTGGGTGGAGTGAGAGGAGGGAACTCTACAGTGGGTGGAGTGAGAGGAGGGAACTCTACAGTGGGTGGAGTGAGAGGAGGGAACTCTACAGTGGGTGGAGTGAGAGGAGGGAACTCTACAGTGGGTGGAGTGAGAGGAGGGAACTCTACAGTGGGTGGAGTGAGAGGAGGGAACTCTACAGTGGGTGGAGTGAGAGGAGGGAACTCTACAGTGGGTGGAGTGAGAGGAGGGAACTCTACAGTGGAGAGGAGGGAACTGTGAGTGAGAGGAGGGAACTCTACAGTGGGTGGAGTGAGAGGAGGGAACTCTACAGTGGGTGGAGTGAGAGGAGGGAACTCTACAGTGGGTGGAGTGAGAGGAGGGAACTCTACAGTGGGTGGAGTGAGAGGAGGGAACTCTACAGTGGGTGGAGTGAGAGGAGGGAACTCTACAGTGGGTGGAGTGAGAGGAGGGAACTCTACAGTGGGTGGAGTGAGAGGAGGGAACTCTACAGTGGGTGGAGTGAGAGGAGGGAACTCTACAGTGGGTGGAGTGAGAGGAGGGAACTCTACAGTGGGTGGAGTGAGAGGAGGGAACTCTACAGTGGGTGGAGTGAGAGGAGGGAACTCTACAGTGGGTGGAGTGAGAGGAGGGAACTCTACAGTGGGTGGAGTGAGAGGAGGGAACTCTACAGTGGGTGGAGTGAGAGGTGGGAACTGTACAGTGGGTGGAGTGAGAGGAGGGAACTCTACAGTGGGTGGAGTGAGAGGAGGGAACTCTACAGTGGGTGGGGTGAGAGGAGGGAACTCTACAGTGGGTGGAGTGAGAGGAGGGAACTCTACAGTGGGTGGAGTGAGAGGAGGGATCTCTACAGTGGGTGGAGTGAGAGGAGGGAACTCTACAGTGGGTGGTGTGAGAGGAGGGAACTCTACAGTGGGTGGAGTGAGAGGAGGGAACTCTACAGTGGGTGGAGTGAGAGGAGGGAACTCTACAGTGGGTGGAGTGAGAGGAGGGAACTCTACAGTGGGTGGAGTGAGAGGAGGGAACTCTACAGTGGGTGGAGTGAGAGGAGGGAAGGGGAAGGGAAGGAGAGGGAGAAGGTGGAGGAGGAGAATTTTGTGTGACTATTGCTCTGGTTGTTGGCTTAAAATACATAAAGAAAATAGAAGAACTGATGTTAAACTGTCCGAAACTTTAAGGATGAATTACAACTTGAGAGGCGGAGGACAGGAGCTGAAACTCGGTAACTAACTTTCATTCACCAGGGCACTAGGAGACTCGAACCAAGGACTTGACTTACTTGTTCTTATTGCGTCTAAAACACGATGGTTTTGAATTTCATGAAAATTGAATTGTTAATAATGAAGATACAAGAGCGAACTAAGGTGGAGGACAGGAGCTTAAGCTTGGTAACCTTCTGCTGCTCATCTTCGTCTCGTGGCTGGCGAAGACGAAGATGATTAAATTTTACGTTATTTGAATTAATAATAACATGGTATCAGAGAACTAAGGTGGAGGACAAGAGCTGCAGCATGACAATTACGTTTTCTTTTCTTGCTGTATGAAATACAGTGGTTTTAAATTTAAAAAACTTTAGTTAAAAGTAAAGGAAATATATCTATAAAAGTATAGAAGCGAGTCCAAGAACTGAAGTCTGACATTATTAACTACATCAACCAGTCATAACTACCACACCCTGAAGATGGCGCCACTCCCACCACTACTTCTGTCATGAACGGTGACAGCGATGACACTGATGACTGCTGCCCTCAACACGATGACTACACAGTGATGACACTTCACAACACACAATGTCATCACTATGTAGTCATCCCACCCCCCCACCCCCCCACCCCCACTGACATGGTACCTCACACAGTGTTGATAACGAGGTCATGGTGCACCACAGTGTTGGTAACGGGGTCATGGTGCACCAGTGTTGGTAACGGGGTCATGGTGCACCACACAGTGTTGGTAACGGGGTCACGGTGCACCACATAGTGTTGGTAACGGGGTCACGGTGCACCACAGTGTTGGTAACAGGGTCATGGTGCACCACAGTGTTGGTAACGGGGTCATGGTGCACCAGTGTTGGTAACGGGGTCATGGTGCACCACATAGTGTTGGTAACGGGGTCATGGTGCACCACATAGTGTTGGTAACGGGGTCATGGTGGCCCACACAGTGTTGGTAACGGGGTCACGGTGTCCCACAGTGTTGGTAACGGGGTCATGGTGGCCCACACAGTGTTGGTAACGGGGTCACGGTGCACCACTGTTGGTAACGGGGTCATGGTGGCCCACACAGTGTTGGTAACGGGGTCATGGTGCACCACAGTGTTGGTAACGGGGTCATGGTGCACCACAGTGTTGGTAACGGGGTCTTGGTGCACCACAGTGTTGGTAACGGGGTCACGGTGCCCCACAGTGTTGGTAACGGGGTCATGGTGGCCCATACAGTGTTGGTAACGGGGTCATGGTGCACCACATAGTGTTGGTAACGGGGTCACGGTGCACCACTGTTGGTAACGGGGTCATGGTGGCCCACACAGTGTTGGTAACGGGGTCATGGTGCACCACAGTGTTGGTAACGGGGTCATGGTGCACCACAGTGTTGGTAACGGGGTCTTGGTGCACCACAGTGTTGGTAACGGGGTCACGGTGCCCCACAGTGTTGGTAACGGGGTCATGGTGGCCCATACAGTGTTGGTAACGGGGTCATGGTGCACCACAGTGTTGGTAACGGGGTCATGGTGGCCCACACAGTGTTGGTAACGGGGTCATGGTGCACCACAGTGTTGGTAACGGGGTCATGGTGCACCACAGTGTTGGTAACGGGGTCATGGTGCACCACAGTGTTGGTAACGGGGTCACGGTGCCCCACAGTGTTGGTAACGGGGTCATGGTGGCCCATATAGTGTTGGTAACGGTGCCCCACAGTGTTGGTAACGGGGTCATGGTGGCCCACACAGTGTTGGTAACGGGGTCATGGTGCACCACATAGTGTTGGTAACGGGGTCATGGTGCACCACATAGTGTTGGTAACGGGGTCATGGTGCACCACAGTGTTGGTAACGGGGTCATGGTGCACCACAGGGGCCACAGTGTGGACATAATGTCGTGCATGACAACGGCGCCACAATAATGCTGGACAGGTAATTAACACCATAATTAGGAGCTGGTCCAAGGCGTGAAATTACCCTCTCTGGCCCTCTCACTTCTCACTTCCTCCTCCTCCTCCTGCTTCTCCCTTTACCATCAACTGTTTCAACCCTTCACCACCCTGTGTGCCAGTCCCCCAACCCGTCCTCGACTCAACTCCATTACATTTAGCAGTCAACCCCACAGACGCATTCATAAATTTTAACATGCTGTTCATTCAAAACGGGAATTTTCTCAAGTATAAGTTAATATTATAATATATTAGCATATTGTGTATATATAGGCATAGGATAGGTTAGGTGTTTAGGTTCTGTTGGCGATTATTTGTATTTGTAGTACGTGGGTGAAGCATTTATAGCGTTGTGATTCGAACAAAATTCGTCAGTGAAGCACTTGTTCCGGATATGTTCGAACGTCAGCAGTTGTGAGTCGTGTGTAAACCGCTTTTCATTCATAAACAGGGGGTTTGGCGGGTGCATGGAATCACTTTTAAATCTTCGTTTGGAGGACGGGCTGAGCCCCCTGGTGGGTGCATGGAATTGATCTTGGCCTTTGTATATAAGGCAGCTCTTCCTCATAAACAAAGGCCAAAGTCCATTCCATGCACCTGCCAAACCCCCTGTTTCTGAATGAAAAACGGTTTACACACAACTACAACTGATTTCGTTCGAATACTTCCGGAACAAATGCTTCATTGACGAATTTTGTTCGAACCACAACGCTATGACTATAAATGCTTCACCCACGTACTACAAATATAAATAATCGCCAACAGATCCTAAACATTTAACCTAACCTATGCCTATATATGAACAATATGTTAATATTTTATAATATTAATTTATATTTGATAAAATTTCCTGTTTTGAATGAACAGGATGTAAACATTTATGAATGAGTGTGTGGGGTCGACCGCTGGATGGGATGGACTTGAGTCGAGGACGGGTTGTGTGACTAGTGTGCAGCATTTTCATTCATCTGTAGTGGAGGACAGACCTTTCGGGCCTGTCTGCCTTCAGTTTCTAAAAATCACTGCCTTCCTCGTCGCTTCCAGCTTGCTCTTGCCTCCCTGAAATCTAACAACTCTATTCTTATCCTTCCTTCCAACAAAGGCAATTCGGTGGTTGTCCTTGACCGTGAGGATTACCTCCAGAAAGCTGATGTCTTGCTCTCTGACTCCCGCACATATTCCAACCTCTGGATCGACTTCCTTCAACCACAAACTAAGCCAGCTCTCTAGTCATTGTCCTCCTGACTTCGATCTTATTAAACGTTTTCGTGTTATCTGCCCTTCTTCTCAGACTCGCTGCCGGCGCCATTGCTTGCTGCCGCACACGATTTTGTTCCCTGGAAAACATAAAGAGTCTGAGCGCCCATCAGCTCAAATCATCGCAATTATGTGAGGAAGAACACATCAATACTCCAAGACCCAGAGAATATATTGTTTGGAAGGACACAATACCGATTTCGTCTACAAATGATGGACAAACAACGTTGTTGATTATTTGCTGTCCAGCTGACTAATATACTGCACAACGCAGTACGCAGGCAACCCAAACTGTCGCACTGCACTCATTGCCCATGACCGATTTTTTGTGAGGACCATATCACTGACCAGGTCACTTAAGAGTCCTACCCTGAAGGGCGAGGCAATACCCTGCAGGCAGCGCCACAAGGAGGCACCATAGAAGGTGTACTGAACCTAACAGAGAAAGGTAGACCAAACAGCTCAATTAGGTGTTAGGTATCCCTGATTCCACCAGGAGGAATTATTTTACGGCCTCTGTTGGAGGGGAATGAATTTCGCCAGGCCTGGGAGTGTCTCAGGCCTCAGGTAGGGCAGTGAATTGGTCCTCACTACATGGGGGGCGTCATGGGGAAGTCAAAGAGAAAGAGGCAATGGAGGCAGCTTTCAGACGAGGAGGGACAGTGGACCGAGGTGCAGCAGGCACAGAACAAACTGCTATCAACGATACACCACGTGCTTCTATCGGCAGGACATCAGACATAATGGACCTAGAGAGGACAGAACCAGTCACACCAGCCAGTGTCAGACACTGTACCTCTCTCCACAGCCCAACCACGGGAGAACAGTATGAGACAGGAGAGGACACCAACAGTCTCACACCAGCCAGTGTCAAACTCTGCACATCTTCCAAAATTCAAGATAATGCAGACAGATCACTTTCCTACAACATATGGAGTAGTAACAGCAATGGAAAAGAAATAACCAGAGCTTAAACTCTCCTTCACAGTCAATCTGAAAGGAGAAATAATAATGACGCCATGAGACCAACAGACTGCAAATTACTTAGAAAAAGTAAGAGTCCCGCAAGGGAAGCCTGTATGCTTGGAAAAGCTGGACCCTTCAGAAAGACGCACACGAGTCGTGCTTTGGGATACCCAATCGACTTTTCACTGGATCCAGTACTAGAACACAAGCAAATCCTGAATGCGGAGTAGTAGTAGACAAGGCAGCGACACGTCAGGTTCTGGTGACCGTCATGGGACATGTGCTAGAAATATTCAGTCTTGGAAATTGGGGAACATACCGAAAGAGACCAGACGTCCCGGAACCCCTACGCTGCTTCAGGTGTCAGAAATACGGCCACCATCAATCACGCTGCACAGGACAGGAGAGGTGCGGAGTGTACAGCCTGAGACATCCAACCAAAGATTGTATAGCCAAGCACAAGGCAAACCAGACCACAACAGCCAAATGTCCAAATTGTGGAGGCAAACATCATGTCTGGAGCACAACCTGCTCTGCATGGAAATAAAAAGTGCAGACAGCTCAGGTCAGGATAAACACACAGACCAGCACTACATACACCAACACCAACGTCTGGAACACTCG